ATATTTTGATCGCAACGCCTGGTCGACTGATCGACGTGATGGATCAAGAATACATTGGTTTGAAAGGTTGCCGTTATCTTGTACTTGATGAAGCCGATCGTATGCTTGACATGGGTTTCGAGCCACAGATTCGGCAGGGATGTGACTGTTACTGGTCTTCTTTCATTTCTGAATGGAAGCCGAGCTATCGGTCAGTAATGTGTAAAACTTTGTGATCTCAGGGAGCTAAAAAATCCATCGTTCATGCTTTGATAACACGGCGTGCCATTGCCATTGGTATTTTGAACGAGTCAGCGCACCCCGCCCCTTCCTTTTGAAAGAGTTATTGGTGCTACCCCTCTCTTTGAACCTAATCTTCAATCAAAGGTATAGAAAATTATGAAAGCACACAAAACGCCTGGCTTCATTGGGACTCGCTGTTTCGGAGTTAAGCGTGGGTTCACTAAAAAAACGAGTCATAATGAAGAAAGTGAGGAAACTGGTTAGAGAATGCTTTTTTTAATCTTCCTAGTGAGTGTCAGAGTCTCAAGAGAGCTTCCTCAAAAATCACTGAGTTTCTTTCTGAAAATCTTGCAGTTCCAGTTCAGTTCACTTCACAGTTTGCGCTGTTTATTGCTGATTAACTCTGTGCCTGCCGTGTCCATTCAACGACCAGATATGACCCCCCCCCCCCACCTGATTGAGGAATCCTCAGCGTTCGTTGCCTTCCGTCGAGTGACTCGTACTAGACCAGTTTTGGAAACGCAGTCGTTTGTTTACTGATCAGCAACTGTGGTTTTTTTTCAGATTGTGGATCTTTCTACGATGCCAAGAAAAGGTGATCGCGTAACCGCTATGTTCTCTGCGACATTCCCCAAAGATATTCAAGTAAGTTGTTGAGATCAGATCTACGACATGTTCGAGTGCGATATTCTATGTAAAATATGATCCAGGTGCTCGCACAAGACTTTCTTATGCCAAACTACGTATTTTTGGCAGTGGGAAGAGTAGGATCGACTTCAGAAAATATTATGCAGAAGGTGCGATTTTCCTCATTAGCGTTTCTAAAGTAATACTTTACTTGAAGAAGCGGTTTTTCATGTCATTGATAGAACATCTGTAACTTCAGGTTGTCTGGGTGGAAGAGCATGAGAAGCGCTCATATCTTATGGACCTCCTTGACGCAGGCGGTCAAAACTCGCTGACGCTGGTATTCGTCGAAACAAAGCGAGGAGCTTCTGATCTTTCATATTATCTGCAAACGACTGGATACGAGGTGGTAGCGATTCATGGAGATTTGAAACAGTTCGAACGAGAAAAACACTTGGATTCGTTCAGGTCGGTTTTTGTTTATCACTTTTCGCTGTGTTTTGGATTTGAAGAAAACTGGTCCAACTTCAAAGTCGTTTTCACATGCGGGTGTATAGATCCGCAGCTGCAAAAGTGCGCCACTTCTAGCACTCAAAGGTGCACAGGAACTGGCTGGAGACTAGTGACATTCGATGCCAGCTCCATACTCTGCCTGCGCTATCCTCAGGTGCAGCAGTTGCGCAGATATTGAGGTCCCGAGGCGAAAAACATACTCAGCAGTAGAGCAACTAGAAGTGAGAGGGCGCGGATAAGTAGCGCGCTTGGCTGCAGTTAGACGTGCAGCCGCTGCGACAGCGGGCGGATCATGGAGACGACACTTGGGTTTAACTGCCCTCCAGCATCGCACGTCTGCAGTAGTGGATCCATTCAGCTCACACATGGCAGAAAACAGGATTGTGAGTGTGAATTGGCCTTTGAAGGCAGTGGATATGATGGCTGGCGCCAAGCGGTTGTCGCCAACGTTAATGTGGAAGGGCTGAGTGAGGTGTGGGCACCCCCTCCTTCTCGCAGCCCCTGGCTTCCTGCCCACTGCCTTTAAGCTCACGCTCATGCTAAGCGGGGATGTACATGGTGGGCTGTTCCTGAATGGCTCAGAAGTGCTTTTTAACGAGCCAAGGGCTTGAGACTTAAAGCTGTGCTGAAGGCCGCAAGTGCCGCGTGGGAAATATAGGTCTTGCTCACTTTCTTCAACGCTTTGGCAACTCTTCACTTGGCTTGCTAATCGAGCGTTCCCTCATCCTACTCGGGATGATTTTCTAAAAGGAGGCCCTGGGCGTCTTCGCGTTTTTCGTTTCCCTTATTCACATCGGAATCCCAATGTGGTACTACCGTGGTATGCATCTTCAAGTATAAAATTATTGCTGTTGAAAGACAATCACAGCTCTCATTCCAGATCCGGTGTCACTCCTATAATGGTTGCTACAGCTGTCGCAGCGAGAGGTTTAGATATTCCAAATGTGAAGCATGTGATTAATTACGATCTACCTGCTGAGATTGATGAATATGTGCATCGTATTGGTCGTACGGGACGTGTCGGAAATATAGGTATAGGTTTATTTATGTGCGCGTGATCTATGGACTCTGAACTATGGATGTCTGTGATTAAGGTCTTGCGACATCGTTCTTCAATGAAAAGAATCGTAATATTGCGAGAGATCTTATGGATTTGATTGTTGAAGCGAATCAAGTGAGTTATAAAACGTAGCCACTGGGTCTTACTTTTCAAAAGAACTGTATTCAGGAGCTCCCAGACTGGCTTGAGCGTGTCGCAGGCGATGTGGCTCGATTCGGAACTCGTAGCGGCGGCAGTCGTGGTGGTCGTGGAAGCGGTGGTCAGAAATTCGGAGGTTCGTTTATTAGCCCAGCTAGAGTTACTGTGCCTTAATTTAGTAACGCGGAGTACTACTGCGGCACAGTTGCCGTAAGAATTATTATCGTCTATGATTGTCCCCGTCGGCATCGTTCAGTGGACTGTCATGATCACTGCGCATGGAAGACACTAACAGGATTGCAATGAAGCGCTACAAGGCTATAGACGTGAACGTAGCCGCGAGACGTCGGCACCAATGCGATGTCTGCGTCTGGCGAACGCGATCCGATGCTATGCAACGCACGGTGGGCTGTGGTGGTCAGGAGAATATGCTGGAGGGCGGGGGGGTGAAAGCGGTAAAGCTAGTCACGCAGACTGGTATCACTGTCGGACTGCGAGCGATCTGTGGTAAAATGGCGTTCGTGCCTGTGAGCTTTAGAGCGGCTGATCCGATTGTACGCGTCAAGCGGGTGGCCGTTACAGCGCGCGTTAAGACCTCGCGCGTGTAACTTGACGGAGGTGATCGCGAAGTCTGAACGCTTGTGGGTGTTTCTGGTGGCGAAAAGTCGGTCACCGACTCTCATCGAGTGTGACTCAATCCCAAACGAGTTGTCAGGACGCGAGCAATCGTGTCAGCAGTGACAGCACAAACCGAAAGGAGGTCAGGTGGAGCGTTTGGGTGGTCAGGTCAAGAGGCGTCAAGGAAAGCGGTGGCGGTTTCGGGTGGTGTCACCACCCGCCCCGGCAAGAAAGGCAGGCGTCAAAGCAATCGTGCTCCTCCACAAGAGGATTGGTTTGGCAATTAGTCAACCATCCAACTATTACGAGACTCAATTTTAAGTTTATTTCTATTACATATTATCTACAGTTTATCGTCATGTGTTTGTGTGTATCTATTCGTCGATGTCACGTACAAAATAGCTAACGATTTATATATTTCTTTTATTATCCCTTCACACTTTCGTTGATTCTCGTGTGTTGTGGTGTGGCGGCCCGTGTTCGGTGGGCGGCGCGCGTCGCGTTATTGGGACAGACAGTGTTGGTTCTGTACCCTGGATATTTGTGTTCGTTGCTCGACACCAAAAGCTCTTTCGTCTTTCTTCACCGCCCGCCTACAGCACTTTGCTTTGTGGCGGCATATGTGGCGGTGTAAGATGCGACGTTGGCGCTTTGTCAGCTCGACATGTATGAAATGGCTTTGTCTGCACTCATTTTGAATGGATGGATTGCTCTCCCTCATGATGTGCTATGGATTCGGTTGGTTCTCACGATAGAATTACTGAATAATGATAATCTACTTCATGATATATGTTCTCTCTGTTTGTGAAAATAGGACTTGTAATGATTTTCTTTCTTGTTCTTTTATTTAATACATGCTCGTGTATGCAGTCATTCTTTACGATTGATGGTGATAATTATTGATTTTTTTTTCTTCCACTGACACGTGAGTTTCTTTAAGATGTTAGCCATTTGTTTATTTCACGCGACGCGTTTTGATCCCATTGACGACGGGTCGGCTTGTGTAATTTAATGCTGAATGAACATTCACATTTATATGAAGAATGTGGTCTTTATGTAGAATTTTTGTAATAAAGTGTGCGTAACTACGTCATTTTCCGTGGGAGATAAGAGGAGTTACCGGTTATCAACAGCTTGTCGGGTGCGCCGAAAACTGAAAACGTATGGGCCTGTGCAGTAACAGAGATCACATTGGCAGACACCACCAATCAGGGCACATCATTAGTAGGGGATTTTGGTCGCGTCCGTACGATCCTCCCCCCTCCCCCCTAGTTCCCTCGTCTAATTGAGCTGTCGAGCAGGGGAGGGGGGGGGGTATGTTTGTGCACATGAAATAGTAGAAGTCGTGAGAAAAATACGAGCTCGCTCCCACATGCGGTACAGTAAAAACCGCGAGATTCCACAACCGGAAAAAAACACACACCGCAAAGGCAAATACTACCCCTCTCCTTTACAACGCCCCTAAAACAAGAAAAGTCAATTATGAAAAGTTTCCTCAAACCAAGTACGACCCTGCTGTTGGGGAATCCCCAACGATGATGTACCTAACCACCAAAGGACGGTATTCTACAATGGCACAGGATGTCTTGAAGACACATGGTACGGTCACACATAGTTATGGGTGTGCGTGACTATCAGCCCCCAGCTGTCGAAGCGTAGCGGTTTCCCGTCCTAACATGCGCAGGAATGGAGATACAGGACCGTGAAACACGCTAATTCCTCCATGCTCCGCCCAGTGCCTTTTGCGGCGCAGACTTCTAACAGCATTCCACGCGACGCGTGGCGCACAGCGCTTTTGGCACTTTGCCAAGTCCTGTAATTGCGCTTTGGAATACAAGTAAAACGCAATTTCCTGATGCGGATAACATTCGAGGTGTTGCTCATGCTTCAAAAGTCCATGTACAGGGGTGATGAAGATGACACAGGCTACAACAATGCGAGAGCAACGAAATGCCTGCATGTAAGATAACAACACGAAAACTGAGGAAGGAAAATCAAGGAAATGCCCAAACATTGCATTTAAAATGCGCTGTGCAGATTTGTGGCAGAATGCCATACGATTCCGGACGCTCCCAGAGCCATAAAAATACTTTCAATAGAGAACTAACAAGTGGGGATGCTTAGGGCCTTTCCTTAGTTTTCACCTTACTGTGCCTTTCACTGGCTCGTGAAGTCGAATGCGCGGCCTCTGAGGGATATTGCAGAAGCAGCACAGTTGCTCTTGAGTTCTGGCCCTCGTCATCATCTTCTTATTTTGCAGCACCTCAAATGTTATCCGCATCAGGAAATTGCGTTTTACTTGTATTCCAAAGCGCAATTACAGGACTTGGCAAAGTGCCAAGAGCGCTGCGCGCGACACGCACGCGCGGACGGCTGTTAGCATAAACGGGAGTCTGCGCCGCAAAAGGCATTGGGCGGAGCATGGAGGAATTAGCGTGTTTCACGGTCCTGTATCTCCATTCCTGCGCATGTTAGGACGGGGAAACCGCTACGCTTCGACAGCTGGGGGGCTGATAGTCACGCACACCCAAACTATGTGTGATCGTACCATGTGTCTTTAAATGTCCTAAACTGAAAATCAGATTAAAATTCTATGCGCACACGCGACGTATAGGAGCGATGTTCTCCCTAGCTTCTGAAGCTGTTTTGGTACCGATTGTGCTTTTTAATGCCCAATTGCGCGCTCCTCAGCTCAATGAGTTTCGTCAGATTGACCCGTCATCAAAACTAGGTAAAAGCGCCAGAGCATGTAAAAGCCTGCAGCCTCGAGGTTTACTGCCTATATCAGCCATGTGGCTCATCGCGTTAAACGTGCGAGTGCTATAAGGCTATGGAACAAGAGTTTGACCCGAGCGGCTTAAAGCGGTCACGATGGTGCAGTGGATAGTGCACTCATCCTGTCAGCCCGAGATGCGAGTTCTACTCTCGTCTGGGGTTTGAGGCCCATAATTAAGCACTCTTGTGATAAAATTCTCCATGGCTTCATCCGCCTAATGAAGTTTTTTTTTGTTGAATCAATTGTGCAACTCACACGACTCCCACAGGTGATGAAGGACTGTTTTTTCTGACCTACCTTTTTCGGGGAGTTCGTGGCGTCTTGACTCGCCTTTGCATAAGTGTCTGTTTTAAATGTTGCTAATGTTAATGAGTGAGCAATTGTAGCAGCAGGAACGCATGCATTCATTAAACAAATAAAAATAAATTACAATACTAGTGGGAGCATATTCAGGGTCGAGGGGTACCGGCCCGGCTACTACTAAACAATCAGGTGATTTCAAAATTTTAGGGGCTCAAGGGAGGGGCTGTCCCAACCAACCAAGTATTCTATCGTTTACGCTGATCAGACTTGTATGGAAGGATAGAAATAGTTACTACCACACATCGGCTGGCTCCCGCAAAGTATTGCGTAGATCACATCGCATTCGAATGTCAGTAGGATCTAAAAAAAGCTAAAGAAAGTGCACTCCAAAAATGGATTTATCGTCAACTACATCGTTCACTATTCTCATGGCAAAACTGAAAATCGCTCTGTGTAAAAAAAAACTGCGTAGGCTTTTGTAGATTTGTAAACCTGTTAAGGGTTGTCGCTGATGAAACAAGGATTTTTATACTTTTATTGTTCGACATAAAATACAACACACAAAACACTTCTACCCAGTATTAGTGGAGAAATTATCACAACAACACCACACACTACCACAATACGTTAGGATTTATACATCATGCTCTTCATAAAAATAGAACAAAGTGAAGACCTGAGAGAAAGAAACTGGGCTTTAGTGGGCAATAAACTGAGTTAAAGGCAGTTGGCACGATGGTTTCCTACTTGGCCTAAAATGCTGCAGCATCACGGCCGCTTCATACCAATCCCTTCGCTTCATAATTTGCTTAGCAAATGAATGAATACGAGCGTCAGGAACGGTCGTCCATTTGTGGGCGGCGGGCGTGGCGGGCGGACGTAAAGTTGTGGCTTGATAGGGCCCTTATAAGGGCACCTTCCTCGGGGAAACCGCGCCTGCCCAGGGTCGCGGAATTCTATCCTGCCAGGAGTATTGATCCTAGTCGCCTTGGGGGATTTATCGTGCCAAGTGCCTTCAAGATTTAATACATGTATTCATAATGTTCGCTTCACCTCCACCTCTCTGTCGCCGTTGATCCTGCAATTTCGTTTGAAAGACGTTACATGGGAAAAACTGGCTAAAGTACAATATTCAGAGAGCGAGATAAAACCATTGGCTCACCAAGATTTCAAAGTCTACTTGAGTAAAGCAATTTCAGATAGAACTTCAGGACGAAAACCTTTCACTATACATGTCACAGTCTGAACAAGGCAACGATTTTCACTTGATACTTAACTTCTGATAAACGTTTCACATATATTGAGTGGCTGTCCAAGCTTAGTTTCAAGCCTTAAAATACGCTCCGTAGAGAGGTAATCCAAATATGGGGTTTAAACGAACAGGCTTTCTGTGCAACATAGTTCACTCAAAAAAAACTCAACATCAGGGGGTCGGCAAAGTGGACCACCCATTAATTTCTTATGCTTTTCCAGTTCCGTGTCAAGCACTGTTCAAGACCTGTAAGTCACGCTGCTCGTGACTTCGATGGACTTCACAGTGACATAGAATGATGACTGCTCAAAAAAGAGAGCTCGAGAAGTGTAGTAGGAACACTGAACATATCCACATACTTCAGATAGCACCATCTCCGCAGGCAACACCTTTCATATATGGTGCAGTTCGCTGCGGACGGTTGGGCGTGTCAGGCGGGATGAGTTTGGCGCGGTGCCAAACCCGTTCTCCACCAGTTGTTAAAGCGAGCAAATGATATGACTGTATCATATCGTTCGTATTACTCGTTTTCTACCACTTTTTGTCGCATGCGCGCTTCAACAAGAAGGCAGAGAACGGCTTTGACGGGGTGACACACTCATACTGCCTGACACGCCCAACCGTCCGCAGCGCAGCGAACAAGGGTGTATTATCATATTAAAGCACACACACAGCAGCACTTTTGAAAGTCAGCATTAGGATCTCTAATTAGCTAGAGGTTTGCGCTCATGGGCAGTCTGGTGTTGCACCTACAAAACCACGTCGGTTTGAACTGAACTCGTCCGGCAACAGTCAGCAACTGGGCTACAGGCGCAGGCGCAACACCCCACAAATAGGTCACATGTCACTGGAAATCTACCTTGAGGGCTAGCACGATGCACAAATCTTGCCAAAGGCTTCTTGAAAACGACCTTATAAGGCAGCCGGACTGGTACAGTCTGAAAAATCTATACCGTTAACGCACCCACGTTGAAGGCACCTTCCTGCAAGGGGAAATTGGCATATAGCACTTTCAAATGAACTGTGCTATTTGTACTCACGGAGGCAAAACCAACGCTATTCCTGGAGAATTCACACACCGCACCAAAACGTGAAGAACTAAAGTCTAACTTTAGGAATTTCGGCAGTATTCTTGTAGTGGACACAACTTTATTTTTCTTTTATGGATGGTCAAGATTATTCCAAGCAGGATTTCCCCATCAAGTAATGAAGTGCTCACCTATTTTTGCAGAAAAATATTACCTGTGAGGCAGCACCCTCAACTCTAAAAACGAAAATGTTTTCATAAGGATTCTATAATTTACTTTGATTCAGACGTAATTCTCTCTGAGTCCGGGCTTTTCTGTTAGCAAACGAGACATGACTTCCGCGAGGCTTACCTTAACTGAAAAGGACACGGATAAACTCAAGCAAAAGCAAGCTTAATCTCGAAATAAACTACACCTTACCCTTCTCACCGTGACGAGAAAACGGATCGTTTTCCTTTTTCACTACTTCGTAACACAACCGGTACCCATTACACGAGGACTTTGAACAAGCTGAAATTTTCCAATCAATACTACTGACCGGAGCACCTATTGCTAAGCCTCTCGAGATAATTTTTCAGGCAGCTGCGTTCGTTACAGACTCTTGCGAGCGAGTTAACACGTTCCGGACCGCGTGACACACATGGTGTGTCACGATTTTGCACCTGTGCGGTATTTTATTCGATAAGTTTGACGTGTCTTTCATGTTCTAGTGTTGCCAAAACATGTTCCCGGGTACGGAAGGTCCTACTCTTCATCAACAATTGAAAAGAAGCAGGAAATATCCGATAAAACTCATGAAAAAGAGGAAATAATCGCGAGATGCGCTCAGTATGGCGGTCCGCAACCGCAATGGGTTAACCAAAGTTCAGGATAAGCCATATAAAAAGTTGGCATAAGCTCTCGCACAACCGAGGAAATTATGAACAACAAAAAGTGCTCGTAAAAAAAGGAGATCGCTGTCACTATAAAAAGTCCCACCTTCCCCCGCGTTGTGACCAGTCGAATCGTCTTCTCTCTCGTCAGCGCTGAAGAAACAAGGTCAATGCAGAACTCAAATACATTCCTTACAACGTTGTAATTGTTATGACGAACCCTGGATCGGTGCTGCTGTTCCCCAAATGAACGACGTCAACCGTGTGAAGTTCAGGATGTTGGGTGTAAACAGCACGAAAGTTAGCCAAATTACAAGAATAACACAGGGTGCAAATAGCATCACTGAAAAGCAGTATTATAGCAAGTACTTGAAACTCGAAGATGTGAGCAGGAAAGATGCCACGTCATTCGTCGGGAATCTCCGCGAGGGGACTGAAGTTCGTATTTGGTGACAAGGAGAGAGGAGGTCATAATTGCTATCGAGGGAAATGTTTTCGGCTGCTGAGTTTTCACGGTTTCCTTGTTTCTGCGCATACAGCACCTTCCCTCGCCGTCCGCCCAGTCACCGAGTTTTTTTGGTGAAAAGAAGTGGTAAAATTGTGAAATTTTAGGATGAAGGCGGTGAGTAGTTGGATGGGGAAGCTGGGGGAGCCAAAAGTTTTCTTGGTACAGATATGGTAGAAATGGGGGAAATTGAAAAAATTAAGGGCAGGCGAGACCGCTTGGTAGGATAGGGAAGGGAAGCGGTCGTATTTCGCAGTTTTCTCAACGGCAGGAGGTGCCCTTTTAGGAAATGAAATGCTGCACACTTATTCCCGAAATATCACCACGCTTCTGGGACAAAAGCTTGGATTGCCTCCAATAATTGAGGCAAGTTTTACATAGACATAGTTCAACGAAAAAAAAAACTAACATAAGCAATGCAGTTTTAGCCACCGCGCACAGCTGACGAGATCGATGGTCCGGTGGTCTCTTTTTGTGATAGTTACAGCAGCTTGAGGTCTCTCGCATTCTCTGAAAGCGGGCGCTTTTTACAAAACTGTTGAATTTGGAAGCTTGAATAGCTCCATCTGCTTTAACTGGTGAGCAGTTCTGTATTTTTTCTCGTTTTGCGTCAACCGTAATTTTTGCGATCTCCATGATGACGTATGCCCCAAACAAATGAACATTTATAACTCAACTACATTTATAACCTTATATAGGCTGACAGAACGAATTCTGATTCCCTAATACCCCCCCCCCACAATTCATGAATGATGCCCAGCTACTTTACAAAAGATGCGTAACGCTTGCCATGGCTCTCCACTCGAATGAGAGGCGCAGACAGGAAACGCGATCGGCCTGGCTAGGCAGCTGGTAGGGGCGTATCACGTGCCGCGTGTTTTGCCTTGGGCTAAATGGCATCCAGCTACCACTACAACCATATTTATTTTCGCGCAGGTCCGAGTGAAGAAAGAGTCAGTTCGGCGACAGGGGGGGGGCATTTTGCACTTTCGCTGCTTCACTGCTTCCGGTTCACAAGTCTTCCCCTGGTGCAACCTGTAAGCTCTTGTGAAGCTGGAGCAAGCTCGTCGAGTAATCATGACAAATCCTGTCAGTTCTTGTAAGCTCACTAACAGCTCTCCAGATGGCTCGACACGTCGATGGAAAGTAGCAAAGGTGCAAAATGCCCCCGCCGTCGCCGAACTGTCGAAAGAAGCTTACTCCTACAGTTGCGAACCTGCTCAATTCACACATGGCATTTTTTTGGGTATTTCCAGGTTTCTCAAAGATAAATGCACAGCTTATCATTGAAGCTCAAGAACTGCTTACTATCTCAACAAATGCCGTATCTCCTCCTTTATTCCTGACGTCATTTCAGATGCACATGAAAATACCCAAAAAAGGTAGGCCCACTCTGTAATTCATGGAGCACTACGCTCGGACGGCACATAATGTCAGTCGCAACGGACTGCCTGGGCGTCGCGCTGCGCTACGGTCTAGGGGTGAATCATAGGCCTTCAACAGCAACGGAAAGATCTGAACAACACAGTCGTCTAGCGACCTGGTGGCAGAAAGACTATTGCGACTCGAATCCTTCAAAAAGTTCGGAAAGAACCGAAATTGAAAAAAGAAAGAAATCGAAAAAATTGCAAAAAAAATTGTCTCTAGTTCCGATCCCTCCTTCAGATATTTCAGCGCTAACCACTT